TTTTCAGCCACATCTGTGTCAGACAACTCCAGTCTGGTTAGAATGAAAATAAAAGATCTGTATAGGCTCTTAGAAAAAAGGTACAAAATCTAGTATATTTAAGTACTAATATGTACACTTCAGGTAATACTGTGTACCTTGAAGATACTTATATACACCCTGTAGCACCAAAAAAAAAAAAAAAAAAAGAGTAATTTAAATTTCAAGGAATTAATTTTTTTAACTAAAACGGGGTTAATGCAGTAAAAACATGGTAATAACATAGTGACATTTAAAAATTCGAATTTTTGTTACATTCCCTCATTAATGAGAAGTTGCTCAGATACAATATAACATGGTGACATATTGTATCGTATCTGTATGCTAAAGTTGATACAATATGGCTTTAGTTGAAAAATATGAGAACTGTTTTATAAAACATAGATTCCTCGGCTCCAAGTGGACTCGGAATGCAAAAATCATATATTTAGAAAATCAGATTTTGAATGCATTATTATGAGGGATAATAAAAAAATGTGTAATTGAAATTTCAAGGAATTTCTCCGTTTTTTTTTATTAACTAAAAGGGGTTAATGCAGTAAAAACATGGTAATAACATGGTGACATTTATTGACATTCACTAATTAACAGTGTTGGGGGTCTTTGCTTCTGACCTTCGATGATCCAGTTCAACTGTACTAATAAGCAAAAATTACTCTAGATGAACATTTGTGTCTTTTTTATATTGCTGAAGAAAAACAAACAAGCAAGCCCTGTCCAGATTTAAAAAGTAACGTAACGCATTACTTTCTATAAAAAAGTAACTAAGTAACGTAACTAGTTACTTTTTAATGGAGTAATGCAATATTGTAATGCATTACTTTTAAAAGCTACTTTCCCCAACACTGCTAATTAATGAGAAGCTGCTGATCACATACAGTAGGGTTTTAGTTGAAAAATAACGGACTCGGAATGCGAAAATCATATACAGGTTTTGAATGCATTAAAAATAAAACAAATAAATGATGTTTTGACAGCAGTCAGCTGATTATTATTGATAACTGCTGATTATGCTCTTACCGTCGGCGGCTCGCTCGAAGTTAACGTACGCGTATCCGAGCGAGCGGCAGGTGAGTCGGTCTCTGCAGACTCGGATCGACTGAACCGAACCGAGCGACCGGAAGCGCTCGAACAGCATGGCTTCAGTCACGTCCGCCTCCAGATCGCCCACATACAGCGAGCTGCTCACACTCATCTTCATCTTCATCACAGACAGCCAGATATCGATGCAGAACTCCGAGCGTCCGAGATTCAGTCTGAAACACGCTTGTAACGATCAACGAATCGGATTCAAAAGATTCAATCAGATCGTAAATAAACATTCCGGTTATGATCGTCATCGTCGTGTTTTATTCTGCACACGAGAGTTTAAATGACAAATCACATCAAATCACTCACACTGCATACGTGACGGATTTAATTATTATATTGTTACAATGTACTAATAAAAATCATGTGTGATCCTTTAAGAAACTTTTATTGTGTTTAACTTTTGTTGCGAGTTGATTAAACAAAAAGTCTAATTTTGTGTTCCACTGAATAATAATAAATGTCAAGTTTAATTTTAAGTGATCTATTTAAGGATTCATTTTTATTGTTTGAAAGATTTTATAAGCCACATAGTCTAACAACAACAAAAAAAATTATTTATATATACACTTTTTTTTTTTTTTGTAAAACCTTGTTTTACCTTTAAGGCAATTTTTTACATTTATATACACACTACCGGTCAAATGTTTGGGATCAGAGCTATTTGTAATGTTTTTACAGGAGTCTCTTCTGCTCATCAAGGCTGCATTTATTTGATTAAAAATACAGGAAAAACAGTAATATTGTGAAATATTATTATGATGTAAAATAACTGTTTTCTATGTGAATATCTGTTAAACTGTAATGTATTTCTGTGATGCGCAGCTGTATTTTCAGCATCATTACTCCAGTCTTCAGTGTCACATGATCTTCAGAAATCATTCTAATATGCTGATTTATTATTAGAATTATCAACAGTTGTGCTGCCAAATATTTTTTTGGAAACTGCAATACTTTTTCAGGATTCTTTGATGAATAAAAAGTTAAAAAAGAAGAGCATTTATTTAAAATAGAAATCTTTTCTAACAATATACACTACCGTTCAAAAGTTTGGGGTCAGTAAATATTTATTCTTTCTTTTTTTGAAAGAAATTAAAACTTTTATTCAGCGAGGACGTGTTAAATTGATAAGAAGTGACAGCTCATGTGACACTGAAGACTGGAGTAATGATGCTGAAAATACAGCTGCGCATCACAGAAATAAATGATATTTTAAAGGATTTATATATATATATATAAAAACAAAAGTTTCACGCACACATCTATGCCAAGTTCTATTATTAAACTCTAGATGGCAGGCTGATCGGTCGTTAACACAAACTGAGTGTTAAACTTCTTGGCACAAGCTGATTGGTTCATGTTGCAGAGGCAGCCAATGAGCTTGCTGCTTTACATTTAAACGGCTGGTTATCATTCACTAGAGCATTTCTCAGCACGCTTTAGAGTTCCTCTGAAACCCTCCACCTCCCCAGCTCCACC